TTTTAAAAAGGTTCTAGAGCCTATGATTAATACTCCAAAACTATCAAATGATGTCACATCCAAAGAGGCAACAAAACCTTTCAAATCCCACCTTAGCTTGCTTCAATTTATCTGGTCTTTTCATTAGCATGCCTAACTCATGGACACCTGTGTCTCAGGGGGGAGGTCTTTTATTCATATAACAGATTGTTATTTTGAGCCTCTGTTCCATGTGTTGTGTTCCATTTGAGAGACCCTTTGGAAAGACTAGGTGATCACAAGAAATGCTGTCACCATGATGAAGCTACCACATGTCCAGTGCCATCTTGCCACTCCCTAGGAATAGGAAACTCATGGGTGACGCCATCTTGCCATCCTCTAGGAAAATTATAACTAATGTGATTAAAATTCTCTAGATTAATATAGTTTCTATACATGTTCTTTTTACTGATTGGTCTGTTAAGGACTGGATGAAGGGTAAAGTGTTTGGATTGGAGATCTGTTGTGAACTACTTCGGAATCTAGCTGACTAAAAGAAATGGTTTGTTTAACAAGAGTGCACTCTAAATTAATGTGATTGCTTTGTGTGTCATTTTCTGAGTTTTCTGTGTACATCTTTGTCTACTACCAACTGAGGCCACTTAATTTTTACTTTTTTGAGCTCATTATTCACGTTTATATTCTTTGGCATGGCTAGGTCATAATGTCTGTGTGTGTGTGTGTGTGTGTGTGTGTGTGTGTGTTCATATGTCTTTAGGATGGTTCTCAAACTGCTTTTATAAAGTTAATGTGGACAACTATCTCAAAAGTTATCTAAAGTTCTAATCCCAACCAGGCCTAACTATTCTCTGACTCATGACCAAAAAAAAAAGTTTTTTTTATAAACAATAATCTCAATCTGTTTCATTCTATCATGAGTATAATTTACATTTACTCTTTTATGATTAGGTTTATTGACCCATGTGTTCTCATAGATTGCTATTATTTAATTTGAAATTAATTTACTTCTCTTCCTAAGTCTTTTAAAGCATAAGGTTGCTAAGACTTTTATTAAAAACGATGTTATCTAAATTTCAGTTTTTACAAAGCTTGCTTTAAGATACAAATCAAGATCTAAAAGCTTGTAAGTTTATATATGTATAATTGAGTTGGCTATAATTTAAAGTTTGCCTAGAGAGTTTTCTAAGATCAATATTTAAGGTACAAATGTGTATTTTTTAAAAATGGGTTTCTGTTTTATCAAAACAACTATCAGGATCTTTTGGTGCTGCAGACTGATACAAAATTTTACCAAAACCAAACCCTTAAGTTTTTAAGAGTCTACAAAAAGGTAATTAATCCTAAAATACCAAATTATGCATGTCATTAACTCCCAATGACTGAGCCTGTTATTTTTGGGCTCCAGGGGCTACATGCAGATCAACAACAACCCTGCTGTGTGTCCCAAGTCATTCCGTCAGTTAACATCAGCATCTAGGATGTGATTTCTTAACAACACTCAAGCCATGGCCCTCAGTCATTGGCTCTCTTAACTTTATGCTAATTCCCTTATCTCTGTTTCTGTATCTAATTATTTGAGACATTAATCTTAATTGGTTTATTATTTAAAAAATATACGTGTTCTCCCATTTTTCTCAGTTTACAAACTGACTACAATCCCATGGCCTAAAAACTGACCACAAGCAATGAGTTTTATCAGGCAAGCTTACCTTGGTGAGATTTAGATTTGATAGTTAATTTTTACTGGTTGTACAAAAAGCTCACTTTAAGATGTTTCCCTTGTAACAATCAACAGATTGTCTTCCTACATAGGAAGGCTGTTTTGGTATCAGCATCCCTCAAAATACCCCTCATGCTGGGGTGGAAGAGACAGGCCCTTAGGAGAACCGATGACTCAAAAGACAGAGTACTCTGCCACTTGCTTCCTCTAGCGACATCTGATGGAAACAGGTCAAAGCAACTTGTGTTGAGGCTTTCAAAATGTACCAGGAAGGATGCTTCACAGAGCTTAAAAGTTCTCATTTTTCTCTTTCCAAAAGGGCAACTTTCCTCCTTTCCTTTGCCTTTCTCTCACTCTCCACCAGCCACTATAGGGAATTCCATTCAGGAGCTCTCGTGCAGGGGTGGAGGGATGAATGGATTTTCCTCCTTCCCTTCCCTCTCTTTCCGCCAGCCAGCATAAAAGAAGCCAACTTATTCACTTGGTTGTATCCTTAAGCACTGGGAAATGCTTTCATCCTACTAGCCAAAAATGAAATGTCTAGTTCTCTTCATGGCCCAATTAAAATTATTTACTATCCTTATACTGCCTAAACCCTACGGTATTTTTATAATAACACTAAAAAAAAATACTGCTAGTGCCTTGTATCTAAATGTTTCAAAATCATTTATAGAGTTAAAAATGTATACATGTAAATAGCTATAGATCTTTTATCTAAGGTACATTCTATCTAATAAGATCTTTGGCATTTCTGCTCTTCACGACAAATTCTGAAAGTTCTGCCATTTAGGCCTGACACCTTTCTGTTAGATCAACGTTGGTTTACCTGACATCCGTTTGTCAGATAAGCACTGTTTTATCTGACATTGGCTAGATTATATCCAATTAAGCATCAACACAGGGGCTATTTGAAAATATTAATACTGCTTCCCCTTGATAGAATAATAATGTCACCATTTCTAAATCCACGGCCATTTTACCCTCAGACCTCACTTGAGAAACTCCCAAGGACAAATTCCCACACTCTAAGACAGCCCCACCCCTACCAGAGACTGCCGCGCATGCGAACTTCCGTACCCTCCCCCTTCTATAAAAGCCACCTGGTCCAGGCTCACTGCTGCGCCATCTTTCCCCCGGCCAGCCTGGCAGTTCAGGCCTACCATTAAACTTTGCTCTATGGACGTGAGACTTTTCTCGTGAGCTTTCTTTGTGAGTGGTGTTTTTCCTAACACCCCTAACCAATGGAAAAATTGGGGGTCTTAGTTGTCAGTACTGTATTAACATTACCGACAACCACTAATTTACCTAACCAAAATTCAAGGTTTACGTTATAATTAGCCATGGTTACTTTAAGTTTTGTCATTACAGTTCTGATTCTTCAGGAACATTTACAGGCAAGCCCATGAAAAATGACTCCAACAAGTGCTTGTCTATCTACTAGCACAGTCATTCTTAAGTATTGGGGTTGTTTTGTATTTTCCTTGTAAAAACTTTATAACTGTTACCTACTGACACTTTACAACAATTTACAGGTGCTGGTTCATCCCCTATAGGACAGACAATTAAATTTAATTAAGCCCAGCCTGAGAGCCATTTTTAAATAAATCTCTTTGTTGCTTAATTTGGCCAAAAAGGTTGCCTTGGCACTGACTTCTGATCTGTTTGATGTGTTGCTTCCCCTCCTCGGTGGGACAAAATCTGACTTTCTGGGAGAAGCACTCCTGCTCAGAAGAACAAAACTCCCAAATTGGCAAAATCTTCAGAGATGACTGTTCAGAGAAACAGTTTAAGAGGATTCGATCCCCGAGCAGTCAGCGTCCCCCAACTTCTCAGAGGAGCAAGGGGCATTCAGCCACCTGAGACAGTTCAAAAAGACTGCAAATGAGGGGACTTCTCCAGATGCAGATTGAGTCAGTTATGCCACACCTCTAAAAGTAACCAAAGCTGAGTGTTTTTTTAAAAAGGGCTCTAACATATGTGCTCTAATATTTAACCTCCTAGGCTTCTGGCAAAAGGCAAAGTCATGTCTTTGTCCAGGGCCTTCTGCTTAAACAAAGGCAATATGACTTTCAGTGGTGTCTAACTTCTGCTTAGGGATGCTGTTGAGTCGTCTTTCTGCACAGACCTTACTCATTAATGTTTACTCTCTAATTGACTAACACCTGCCCCCAGTACACCTGACCCCTAATGTGGTCAGTGTTTAACTACCCACTATAGCGACAGTCCAAAATACAGGGCCATCTAAGAGTTAAAAATAGCTATAGGCATAAATACCTATAGGTAAAGTAACCATAAGACTCCCTGTCACTTCTCAAAATTACTTTATCCTTCCTGCCATACCTGACAGGGCCCCTTCTGATGCTCCTACCATTGTTAATGTTTGGGTCATTCCTTCTCAGCCAGATTTATCTCTACCAGAATAAAAGCTTTTAGGACCCAAATCATGAGACAACAAGGCTGCCAATCTCTACAAATGAAAGAGATCTCCATGAGCAACCCAGATCTCCATGAGGAGCCTTAACCATGGTGGGCAATAATTCAAACACCTTATGTCCAAATGAGCCCCAAGGGAAAGAAATAGAGAAAATTCCCTTTATAGATAGGGTCTGCTACCACTTTCAGCTCAAAGCAGATACTGAAAATGGACTGCCCCCCCTTCAGCAACCCCCAAAATGGAATTTTTTGGAATAATGTCTCTCAAGGGGAATTTGAGGCAGGCTAGAAGTAGGAAAAGTTTGGGGTTCATGTAGGTTACCTGGGGATGGCCCAGACCACAAGAACCTGACTGGGAATAGCCATGACCCTCCCCACTTGTTCATTATTAGGTGGGAATCTCCTGGGTCTGCCCTCCACATGGTGTAGTATAGGTTTTAAAAGCACTCTCTCTCTGCTGGTGGGCTCCACCTGCACCCCACCATGCTCCCTTTGCATTTCTTTTCCTAACTTTTAATAAACCCCATTTATACCCATGCATTCTGCTTGGATTCTTCCACATGGGAATGCAATGACCATCGTCTTCTGAAAACACCATTTTGCAGTCAACAGAATGACTAAGGCTCAGGAAGATTGTCCTAACTTATCGGGCTACTAGAGGTGAGGTGGGAATTTGAACATAGCTCCTGCTAACTCATTGCCCTAACTCCTCTGCCTCTCTCCATATCATGTGCCTAGGTCTTCCTTTCTGCCACAGACTGCATGCAAGATTCTCTTTTCAGCCATTTTGGGCCATGCCTTGTTAGGCAAAATAGCACCTTAGGAGCAACCAGAAAGAGCTGAGGGATGGTGAGGCAGTGATGCTTACAGGACGGATGGGCAGTTCACTTCTTTCTCTTTCATAGCACAAACCCTCTAACTTGATTCTTGGGTGGGCAAGGTCTACAGTTCTTGGAGTTGCAACAGCACTCAGAGCAGGAACTGAAACCCTGGTTTCAGTCTAGGGAAGAAAAACAAACAGTAACTGTAAGAATCAAATAACAAACACTATTTAGTTCAAAATTACACAATTTGTGTGACCTGGGACCGTGTTTCTCACTGGGAGCCAAAGAGATAGAAATCTCACAGTAACTCCTGATCACAGCTGACGGGACCACTTTCCATTTTTCTTACACTAGATGGTAGTAGCTTTTCAGGAATTGAACTGTTAAGCTACAGATGTGGAGGAAATGTCAAAGAATGTTACATACTGACTTAGAAGCAATGGCAATGCTGGTTTGTGGGTTGATAAGTGCATCCTAGAGGGCAGGCTCAGCCCTATCACAGGAGAACACTTCAAGAGGCAGACTGTACTTTATTCTTAATGATTTGTATGATAGGACTCCCATTATCACAACTCGCAATACCAAAGGATTTATATCAGTGGCTCTCTTCTAATTGGAATAGATAAGAAAAAGAAACCAAAACCAAGAAACAGCAGAACCTCCACTCATCTGAATTGTGGAAATTTGTTCACATCCCAAGGACTTCTACCTAAATTACTTGTACTTATGCAATTACTTTGAAGGGGAATATAATCAATAACTGGAAAAAAAAGTTAAAATAGGAAAGACATTAACTGTGGGTAGAAAAATAATAGATAAATAATTCCAAATTTGAAATTCCTTCCTGGGTTGTTTAATGATGCAGATTCATACTGACAGTGATTATGTGCATAATTAATCTGTTCCTCTCCTGGAGCATCACTTTATTTCTGCTTCTTTAATGGCGATACCAAGGCACTGAGATTCAGTAGTTTAAGTTTATATAGTTAGTAAACAGCAGGGCTGGGATCCAAACTGAAGGTCATGCACATCCGTGCAACCCTAATTAGCATAGGAGTACTAATTAAGCATTTCCTATGAATGAAGCTTTGTCTCCTAACTGAATACTGACAACCACTGTCTTCAGTTAAGACTTTCAATCTAAAAGGAAATAAAACAAGCATTCATTAATCAATATACTATGTAAGACACAACAAAAGAATAGTAAACATAGTTGATTTAAATTTTTCTTTTTGTTTTTTGGCAGTATTGGGGTTGAACTCAGGGCTGTGCACTGCTAGACAGGTGCTCTACCTCTTAAGCTATGCTTCCAGCACTTTCTAATTTCTTTTTATTCTAAAATTCACGTGAAAATGAAAAGACCTAGAGCAGTTAAATAAATTGGAAATGGATACAGAGTTGGAAGACTTACACTATCTTATTTTGATACTTATTCTAAACTGTAATGATCAAGGCAGTATGCATTGACGTAAGAACAGACAAGTTATAATTACAGCAGAATTCACAGTCCATAACTTAGACCCAAAGTAATTCAATAGAGAAAAGAAAGTCATCACATTGTGTAAGAAAACGAATATCCACACGGAAAAAAAGGAACTTCAATTTCTAAACCACATATACCAAAAAAACCTAATTCAAAGTGGATTGTATGCATACATTTTTACATAAAAGTAAAAATTGTTAAACCTTATAGAAGAAAATACGAGTACCTTCACACATGGGAAGTAAATAAAGACTTCTTAGTCGGGACACCAAAAACTTAACCATAAAGGAAAAGATTTATAGGTTAAACTTCATCAAACTTAAACACTTTTCTCATAAAAATGTCATAGCAAAATTAATAGACTGCTCACAAAGACTAAGGCATGTGGGACACACCTGTGATCCCAGCTATTTGGAGATGAAATAGGGAGATTTGAAGTTTGAGGCTAGCCCTGGCAATGTTAAGGAGACCCTTTCTCAAAACACAATACACACAAAAGGGCTGGGGCATGGCTTAATAGATGGAGCAAGGGCCTAGCATGTGAGAAGCCTTGAGTTCAATCTCCATAACAAAAAAAGAAAAGAATGGGCTAGTCATAGATGGGAGAAATATTTGCAAATCCCAACCTTGACAACAGACATGCATTCAGATAAATTTTGCAAAATTAATAAAAGGAAATTATTGCAACTCAATTTTTAAAACAAGCTAAGCTTACTAAGCCAGAGCAACTTGCCTGGGCATGGTGGTACATTCCTATAATTCTAGCATATGGAACTGAGATAAGAGATCATGGGTTCAAGACCACCTTGGGTTAACATGGAAAGTTCCAGGCCAGCCTGAACTACTAAAGAAACCTGTCTCAAAAAAGAAAAAAAAAGATAAAAACTACTCATACACAAAATGATTGTGGTGTAGAAAATACTGAAGAATCTTAAAAAAAAACTACTACTAAGTAACAAGTCATAAATGTTCAGCTTGACAATCATTTTGAAAATGCAAATTAAAACCATGATAAGACACCGCTATCTACCAAAATGTCAAAATTTATACAATCGACAATGCCAAATTTGGCAGGTCTGTGAGCATCTGCCCACTCAGACATTGATGGTAAAATAGAAATGATACATGAGCTTTGGAAAATATAGTTTCTTACAAAGCAAAATCCTATACCTACCCTATAATTCAACAATTCCACTCCATTGTTTTACCCAAGATAAGTGAAAACATATGTTCACAAAATATCTGTGCATGAATGTTCATAACTACCTTACTTGCAGTAATCCCTTTGGAAGCATCCCAACTGTCACTAATGGTGACTAAATAAACAGATTTTGATATAATTATACAATGGAAAATACTTTCCATAAAAAGAAACAATCTATTGATACACTCAATAGTATGTGTGAACTCAAAGTCAGTGTGCTGGGCAAAGAAGTCAGGTACCAAAGAATATATGTTGTATAATTTTATGTAAATCAAGTTCATGACAGGCAAAACTCATCTGTCTTGCAAGGGAGCTGAGCAGTAATTGCCTCTGGACAAGGAATGGAGTGAATTGACTGGAAATTGTCAACAGAAATTTTCTGGAACAATAGAAATATTTTGTACCAATCAGGGCTGATTTGGTATTGAATGATTATATACATTGTTAGCTTATTAAGCTCTACACTTAAGATCTATGTATTTTGTATAATTACAATGCAGTAATTTCAAGTTGTAAACTGGAAAATATTTGTACCATATATAACAAATGAAGAATTAATACTCCTAACATGTAAAGAACTTCTATGAATCAATAAAAATGTACAGACCAGCAGAAATAAGGCCACGAATAAACAAATTAATCAACAAAAAATATACACAGTAAATAAATGTGGAAACTATTTGAATTTATTAGTTATCAAGGAATGAAAATAATTTTAAATGAGATTCTGTTTTTATATAATTAACAGTCTGTAAAGTAGATAATATGTATGTTGGTAAGACTGCAGTGAAAAAGGCAGCCAAACAATTATGGGTATGTAAGGTCAAAAATCACTTTTGGGAACAAGTTCTGGAATTTTATATAAACCACTCAAAATATTCATACCCCTCCTTGATCCAGGAATTTTACTTCTTGAATTTTTATTCTTGGGACACAATCGAGAGGCACCAGTGAGGAGAACGACCTTATAAATTAAAACAGCAAGCCAGACAAAGCCATGTGAGAGCTCCAGAGTTCGAGTGCACAGTACTCTTATGAATGAGACTGAAGAGTCACAGTGTCTTCAAGTCAAAGTCTTTAATTCTCCACGTGGGAGCTCCAGATACAGGGAAGCAGGACAAACAACCACAGATATAGGCTAAGAGAGCTATGAGACCAAGATGTTTAAGTTTTGTAGGCTCTAGCAAAGTTACTGCACAAAGGGGCCATTGAGGTAAGGCGTTCTCACTGCATAAGACCAGTCTCTGGACCTAAGTAGCCTCAGGCGCCTGTGGAAGTAACTTGGCTTCCTTTAGGGCATGTGTGATTGTTAAACTTAAGGAAGATTTATACTTAACTGTCAAAAAAAAAAAAAAAACCTAAAAGAATCAAATCCTATTTTGGATTAATAATAAATCTGTGCAATAAATGAAGAAATTTGAATATGGACCCTAAGGTAGGTATTCTATCAGTGTTAAATTTCCTGATTTTGATAATACTGTGTTTCTGTGGTTAGGTCAAATAATGGCTTTGTTCTTAGGAAATTAGCACTGAAGGGGAAAGGGATATGTCTACAGCTTACTCTTGAAAAGTACTCAGAAAGAAGTTATATACACACGTAAGTACAACATACACACAGGAGGGAGAATAATAAAGGAAGGAGAACAAAATGTTAATTTTTACTTTTTGGTACATTTGAAACTATTAAAACAAAAAGTATATACACTAAAACCCAACGTATGTGTGTTTAAGAGGATTTGGTCCATTAGAGTGGTAAACTTACACTGCAATTTGAAATATATAACTGAGGAATTTATTTAGAATATGACATTAAATTGAAATCTCACATATGTGTTCATTCTTAGAACATTAAAAAACTTCAGTTACACTATATTTATAAGTTTAATATACTAAGGCTGGCAGAGTGGCTCAGGCGGTAGAGCTCCTGCTCAGCAAGTGTGAAGCCTGAGTTCAAATCCCAGTACCACCAAAAAAAAATTTAGTATGTTAGATTTTAAGGTAATGATTTAATATTTCTGAAGGTTTTGTTTGCCAATGTAGATGTCTGAAGTAAAGTACTTAAAAATAATTCAAATGTATTTATAAATATAGTTTAAGTTGTTTGAAGTCATTTTTATCTAGGTTGAAAAACATAACCAAATATTACTCAGGATTTTAAAAATTGATTATTAAAAACTGCTAACATTATAAATATAACAATAAAACCTAAAAGCAAGCTAAACCTAAAGAAAATTTGATTTTTAAATTTACAACATAGTACTCCTAACTACTAACCATGCTCAAGAATACCGAAAGATTAACACCACTGGGTGTGGCAGGAGTTGTTTAAGTGTCTATAAATTCTTTCCTACTTCTCTCATTAAGAGGTAGGGTTCATGTCCCCGCCCCCTTGAATCTGGCCAAACACAACTGCATCAGTCAACACAGTATGATTGTAGTGACTTGTGACTTCCAAGGCCAAGACATAAAAAGCCCTTGTAGCTTTCACCTATTGTCTTGGAATGCCTCCCCGGGGACACTGTTTTAGGATACTCCTCTGAACATGGCTGCCATGCCTAGACAGGTCTATGCCATAGGGAAAGGCCATATGAAAGTGCTCCTGTACATATCATCAATTGAGTCCAACCTCAAGTCACCAGCTAAGCACCACATATGGGTGTCTTAAGGACTGAGTGTTGTGTCTCTCTAAGATTCTTATGTTGAAGCCCAAATCATCAGTATTAATGCACCAGGATCAGGGGCCTCTGAGAGGAGATGAGGTTTATGGGAGGTCATGAGGGTGCTTCCCCATAATGGGGTAACTGAGTTTTTTGTTGTTGTTTTTACATTTATTCATATGTGTATACATTGTTTGGGCCACCTCTCCCCCTACACCCCCCACACCCCGACCCAGGGTAAGTGTTCTTAAAAGCCAAGAGTTCACTTTGTGTATCTCTCATTCTTTCTCTTTCTCTCCTTGTACAAAAGGTCATGTGAGCACAGAACAAGATGGTAACAGCAAGCTAGGAAGTGGGACCTCACCAAGAAGAGAATCCACCAGCATGTTAACCTTGGATTTCCCAGCTTCCAGAACTGTGAGAAACAAACACCTTTAGTTTAAGTTACCCGGTATATGATATTAGGTTATAGCAGCCTAAGCTGACTTACACAGGTACGAAGGAACTCCTAATAATTCCAGCCCCCTGCATTCATTTCAGACACCCACGTTAATTACAGATTTCCTAGCGTGGATCAGAGATAAACCATATCTTTCCTATCAGAATTTCTGACACATAACATCCTGAGTGTAATTGTTATTTTGCATGATTAAGTTTGTGGATGGTTTAGCATCAGGCTACAGACAACTAGCCTAGTACCAATATTTCTTTTAGATTTTGTTTTCTGAGCTGATTAGATTTACAGGCCTTAATTAGTCCACTGATACTGGTTTAACATAAAACAAAACTCTAGTTGTTCATAATTAATAGGCAGTAAAGCCGAAAGCAAGGCTTTGGGTAACCAACAGCTGCTGTTAAAGAACAGTTCAGTGAAATAAAGAAGTACAGTGTTCTAACACCCTGTGGTCCCAGCTAGGGGACCCAACGTAGGAGGATCACTGGCTGAGGCCAGCCAGGGCAACGGTAGCAGGAGACTCTATCTGAAAACAAAGTAAAAAAGCAAACAGACTGGGGACATGGCCTAAGTGTATATTGCTTGCCTAGCAAGCAAAAGGCTCTGAGTTCAATCCTCAGTACTACAAGGAAGGAGGAGGAGAAGGAGATGGAGGAAGGAAAAAGAACTTAAGGCCATACAAGAGACCAGAAAGCTTTTGTGGCTTCCATAAAAGAAACCTTTATCTTCTATTGTTACAGGGATGAAAATTCTAAGAAGCAAAATTTAATTCTGTGGGTGGGTGACCATGAAAATTGAACTCTCAAACTTGTATAGCCCCTTCTGTTAAAGTTAGAGCAATGACTGAGGAAGGAGTAGGACCTTAAAAACTGGAATGGAGATATATGGAAGATCTCCATGTATTTAGGTTTTAAACCCTAAATAAAACTGAGTGTTCCTTACCGTTAGAATCAACCCTGAAGAGGTTGGTTTCCAGGTACCTTCCAGGGAACTACCTCTCACTGCATCTAGACCTATAAGCAGACCCAAGTCCCAGCTGCCACAATGGTCAACCACAGACTTCTTCAGCAGCTCCCACTACCACTCAAGGCCTAATCCCAATAATAAGTCCCTTGTTCTACATCACTCACCGATAACAGAAAAGTTCATGCAGTAAAAGGGGAAAATCCACAGTAAGAAAAAGAAAAATATGCCCCTAGAAATAAGAGAGTGGCGTGTTATAAAGTCAATCTGAATCTTCACTTGGGCCCACTTACGCTTTTTGGAGGAACATAGTTTGGATCTATGCCTTTGGCTACTGAGAGCTGCAAAATCCGGGGAGAAGGATCAGAGAAGCGATGAGACCCTCTTGTTAAGTACTCACTGGTGGGCCTATATGCAAATGGAAACATGACATATTATAACTGTTGGGCAGAGGAGCAACAATAGGATTTTGCACTGCTACAATCAACCTGCAGTCATCTGTTTCAATCTTAGGAACATCTTTTCCCACAATCGTGATTACTGTTTAGACCACATTGGTGTTTCTCAAATTTTCTTTTCTGTAATCCACGATAAAGAAGGATATTTTATGTTGTGACACAGTATATGTAAATGTGTGCTTGTATATAGGAAACAAATGATTGTAAAATAAGACATCCTGTGCCATATATTCTGAGTTTTAAATTTATAACTTGATTTCATTAAGGAAAGAACTGGAATTGATCTCATGATCCATTATGGATGGGTTGGGACCTGAAATTTGAAAACACCTCACTTCCTACAAATATCTCTCATTAGCTTCCTGAGATAAAAATTCCAGCTACCAGTGAGGACCCGTCTGTGGTGACCAGTCTCCTCTGGCATGCAGTTTAGTATAATGTTGATCAATACCCTCAGTCACTTGTCCAGATGTCATAGGCTGTACCCCACATATCCCTTTCCCTAACCAAAAACCTATCAGCCAACCAACAAATCTATAAGCCTAATATGGAAAAGGGTTTTCTCAAAAGTATGATTACTTTGTAGAAGTAGTCTGTTGTGGGTTTTATTATTATTATCATTGGGATACAATTAACATATCATAAAATTTACCCTTTCCATAGTATACAACTAAATGGTTTCTAAAATATTCACAGAGTTGTGCGAACAGCACTACTGTCTAATTTCAGAATGTGTTCATCAACTCAAAGAGAAATCCCACACCTGTTAGTAGTACCTCGGCATTCCCGACCCCATCCCCAGGGAACCAGTGATCTACTCAGTGTCTCTAGAGTTGCCTATTCGGGAATTTCAAATAAATAGAATCATAAATATGTAGCCTTTTGTGTTTGGCTTCCTGCATTTGGCATATTTTAAAGATTCCTATATCCATACTTCATTCCTCTTTTATGACTGAATGACATTTTATTATATGGCTTTGCCACATTTGTTTATTCACTTATCCACTGACAAACATTTGAGCTATTGCCACTGTTTGGCTATTATGAATAATGCTGCTACGAATAGTTGTATGCCGATTTCTGTGTGAACATGCTTTCAATTCTCTTGGGTACTTGCCTAGGATCAAATTGCTGCATCATATGATAACTGTGTGTTTAACATAGTGGGAGTTGCCAAATTGTTTACCATATAAGGTATATCATTTAATATTCACATCAGCAATGTATAAGGGCTTCAATGTCTCTCCTTTGTCACCAACACATTGTTTTCTGATTACTTATTATTATTTCTGTTCTTACAGGTGAGAAGTAGTGTCTGATTTTGGTTTTAATTTTCATCTCCGAGATGACTAGTGATGTCACTAGTCATCACTTTCATGTGTTTATTATCCAATTCTATACAGTAAATGCTCATCAACTTACCATAGGGCTACATCCCAGTAAACCCATGGTAAGTTAAAAATATCACAAGCTGATAGTGTATTTAATACACTAGTTTACTTTAGTAATCTCATGGCTGACTGGGAGACTGTGAGCTCAGCATCAAGAGAGAATTGTACCATGTATCACTAGCTGAGGAAACAGTCAAAATTAAAAACTCAAAGTAGGACTTCTACTGAATGTGTGTCACTTTTACACCATTGTAAAGCTGAAAGTTGTAAGTTGAACCATCTTAATTCAGGGACTGTCTGTACCTTTTTTAGAGAAATATCTATTCAAATCTTTTGCTCATTAAAAAAAAAAAACTGGGTTGTCTTTTATTGTAGTTTCCAGAATTCCTTATATGTATTCTGAATACTAGTCCCGTATCAGATATACTGTTTGCAAATACTTTCTCCCATTTAGTGGATTGTCTTCTCACTTTCTAGATAGTGTCCTTTGATGCACAAAGTATTTACTTTTTTTTAATTTTTATTTATTTATTTATTGGCATCACTCAGCATGAACTCAGAGTCTCATGCTTGCTAGGCAGGCGCTCTTCCACTTGAACTACTCTGCTAGCAAGTTTTTACTTTTGATGAAGTTCAATTTACTTTTTGTCACACACACTTTCAATGTCATGAGTAAGAAATTACTGATTGATTATTCATGATAATGGAAATCTATGCCTGTGTTTTCTACTAAGGGTTTTAGCTCTTTTACTTGGGTCTGTGGTCCATTTTGAACTTTTGGATATGGTATGAAGTAGGATGTGGAGCCTGGTTGGAGGAAGTAGGTCACTGTGGACATGGTGTTGAAGGGTATATCTTGTCACCAGATCCTTCTTCTTCCTCTGTCTCCCTGTTCCCTTGACATCATGAGGTGAGAATTTTGCTTCACCATAGTCTTGGACCTCTATATTGTTCTGCCTTGCCACAGGCCTACAGGAATGGAGCAAGTGACCATGGTCTGCAACCTCTAAAATTGTGAGTGCAAAATAAATCCTTCCTTTTAAATTGTTCCTGTCAGGTACTTGTCACAGTGATGAAAAGCTAATTAACACAACTTGTCTATCTCTAGTAATATTTGTTTTAAACTGCACATTGTCTGAGATCATTATGGCCACTCTAGTTCTTTTTTCGTTTGTTTGTAGGTATGGTATATTCCTTTTGATCCTCTTAATTCAACCTCTTTGTTACTTTGAGTCTAAATTATGTCTCTTCTAGACAGCATATAGTTGAATACATTTTTATTCTGTTAATCCTTGCCTTTTGATTAGAGTGTTTAGCTCATTTACATTTAATGTAATTATTGATGAGGTAAGATTTATCCCTGCCATTTTGCTATTTGTTTTATAAATGTGTTGCATCTTTTTGTTGCTGTTTCTATAGTCTTCCCTATTTTTGTGTTAGATATTTTCCAGTATACCATTTGATTCCCTTGTAATTTCCTTTACTATATTTAAAATTTATGTTTAGTTGTATCCCTTATATCTTAATTTATAATAATCTAGTTAAGATTAATACTAAATTAATTTCTATTATATATAATAACTTTATTCCTATACAGACACCCTTCCTTTATGCTTTTCTAAAATACATTGCATACCCATTAACATAGCTTTATAATTATTGCTTTATGAAGTTGTCTCTTAAACCAGACAGGAGAATGAGAGTTATAAACAACAAAAATACATTTATACTAGCTTTTATATTTACCCACATAGTTAACTACATTGGTGCCCCTACTCTACATGTGAATTCAAATTATTATCTAATGTCTTTTTTTCTTGAGACAGGGTCTTGCTATGTAGCCAAAACTAACTTAAGCTTATGCTCCTCCTACCTCAGCTCCCCAGGTGCTGGTATTATAGGTATGTACCACCACACACAGCTTCTTCTGTGTTTTCATTTTAGTTTGAGGGATTCCCTTTAGCATTTCTTATACAGCAAGTCTGCTGGCAATTGACTTAATCAATTAATTTTTTGTTATCTGGGAATGTATTAATTTCTCCTTCATTTTTGAAAGGTAGTTTTGCTAAGTAGTTCATCCTTAGATGGCAGTCTTTTTCTCTCAGTGCTTTAAATGTGTCCTTCCAGTGCCTTCTGGCCATTGTGGATTTTGATGAGGAATTATTAATCTTATTGCATATCTGGTCTATGTGATGAAGCACTTCTCTTAGCATTTTCAAGACTGTCATTGTTTTTGGCTCTTGAGAGTTTGGTTATGAGATATCAGCTATGGATCTCTTGAGTTTTCCCTCCTTGAAAAAGGAGTTTGTTGAGTTTCTTAGATGTGTAATGTTTGTCAGCAAACTTGGTATGTCTGGGACCATTATTTCTTCAAGTATTCATTCTGCCTCCTTATCTCTCTCTTTCTTTCTTTCTCTCTCTCTCTCTCCTCTCCTTATGGAATTTGCATTATGGATATATTGATACTCCTGATGGTATCCCATGGATCTCTGAGGCTCTGCCCATTTTACTTCATTCTTTTTCCTTTCTGTTCCTCAGATTTGATCATCTCAAATGACCCATCTTTGAGTTTGCTGTTTATTTCCTCAGCCTGCTTAACTCTGTTGGTGAACCCACTAGCATCACTGGTGTCACAAAGCTAAGCTTGTGTAGTGTATTTATTGGAGAGCCCTGTGTGTCTTCAGTAAGCACTAGTTTTGTTTCCTCTCAGACAGTTCTAAAAAGCTTAATTAATTCCAATTTCTAGAAGACTAAAAAAAAAGAGGCTGGTTAGAAACTATACCTCCAACAAAAGAGAAGCAGGGAAACTGTAAGAAGTGACTCTCTCATAATCTGAAGAGATAAGTCAAAACCATTTAGCCTGAGGAAAAACTATGCTTCATACTTAAATAGCTCTTAAGAGGTTTTCTATATCATTACAATTTTAGTATATGCACTGGCAAAACAAGAACATGAGAGGTTTTCTATATTAAAATGTTATGTAAGAACTGATATTCAAACAATGACCTTAATCAATGAACAAAGGTTAAAAGAGGCTGGGCATGTAGCTCAGTGGTAGTGTGCTTGCTATGTGCAAGGACCTGGGTTCAATTCCCAGCATCAAATCAAATGAACAAAAGCAAAACAACAAACCTATAATGCAAAAAAGGGAAACTGTGATTCCCTTTTCCAGGTAATTGTTTCCATTCCTGGAGAGCTACTCAGAAAGACTTTTTTATGCTTAGCTGACTTTTGCTGCCCTATAAAGCCCTTGTTTTACTTCTAGTAGTAAGGTTCATATGAAATAGTTTTACTCCCACCTCTTTTTCCTCTTTCAGCTGCCCACCCTTTAAGCATTTGAACACAGCAGTCACTGCTTCCTTGGTCTCTTCCCTAAGCTAAACAGGTCATTTCTCTTTTTTTATTTTTATTGTTGGCTTGGTGTGGGTACATTGTGGCATTTACAAAAGTTCTTATAATATATCATAGTTGAATTTACCCCCTCCACCATTCTCCTTTATTCTCCCCTCCCTCCATTCCTGGAATAGCTTCAACAGGTATCATTCTTCTACTTTCATACATATGTACACAGTATTTGCACTATATATACCCTCCCACACCCTTTCCCCACTGCCTCCCCCCTCCCACTGGTATCATCCCCCCAGGGAGGAACTATTTCGCCCTCCTGTTCTCCAATTTATAAAAGGAAAAAAAAAAAGACATTTTTGCTTAAGATGGATACACAGGGAGTTTCCTTGTGACATTTTCATGAATATATGTATTATAATCTGAATTGTTTCATCTCCTTTATTTTTCTTCTTTCTACCTTAGTGCCCTTTCTATGGTGGTTTCAACAGGTTTAAAATTTCTATATTCATTCTTGTATACTGAGTACATCAACCACATTTACCTTCTTAACTTCCTTCTTTTACCCTCACCCTCTAGTATGTGACCTCCCCTTAACGTGACCTGTTTTTGATAATATTGCTGAATTTGTATTGGTCTATATTTCACATATGAGAGAAAACATTTGGCTTTTGCCTTTCTGAACCTGGCTAACTTCACTTAAGATGATGTTCTCCAGTTCCATCCATTTACCTGCAAACAGCAAAATTTCATTCTTCTTAGTGGCTGAATAAAATTCTATTGTATATAAATGCCACATTTTCTTAATCCATTCATCAGTAGTGGGGCATCTTAGCTGTTTCCATAGGTTAGCTATTATGAATAATGCTGCAATAAACATAGATGTACAGGTGACTTTATTGTAACCTGACAATTATGGGTTATTCCTTTGGGTAGATCCCTAGGAGTGGAATTTTTGGATCATATGACAGATCTATTTTTAGTTTTTTGAGGAGCTTCCATACTGTTTTCCATAGTGGTTGAACTAGTTTGTATTCCCACCAGCAGTGTAGAAGTTTCCTTTTTTCCCCACATCCTTGCCAATATTTGTTATTGTTTGTGTTCTTTATGGTAGCCATTCAAACAGAAGTGAGATGGAATCTTAACATGGTTTTGATTTGCTTTCCATTTTGGCCAGGGATGGTGAGCATTTCTTCATGTGTTTTTTGACCATTTGGACTTCTTCCTTTGAAAAAGCTCTGGGCATATTTTCATTTGCCCATTTCTTCATTGGGTCACTGATTTTTTTGAGATGTATAAAGATTTTCTCCTATTCTGTGGGCAGACTTCAATTTAGAGACCATTGTTTTTCTTTTTTCTTTTATCATTTTGCATTTACTCACATGTGTACATGTTATTTGGACCACCTACCCCTGCCCCACCCAGAGAGCATTTCTATTGTTGTGCAGAAGCTTTTTAATGTTATATAGTCCCATTTGCAAATCCTTTCTCTTAGTTGCTAAGCCATTTAAGTTCTGTTTGGGAAGTCATTACTTATGCCTATTAATTCCAATGGTTTCCCTGCTCTTTCCTGACCTATCTTCAAAGTTTCTGGTCTGATATTATGGTTCTTAATCCACTTTGAGTTGATACTTGTACAGGGTGACAGGCATGGATCTAGTTTCAGTTTTCTGCATGCAGATATCCAGTTTTTCCAGCAACATTTGTTAAAGAGACTGTCTTTTCTCCATTGTATGTTTTTGGTGTCTTTGTAAAAATCAGGTGAGTATAGCTGTGTGGATTCATATCTGGGTTTTCTATTCTGTTCCGCTGGTCTTCGTATCTGTTTTGTGCCAGTACCATGCTGTTTTTATTGTTATGGCTCTGTGCTATAGTTTGAAGTTGGATATTGTGATACCTCCAGCATTGCTGTTTTTGCTCATTATTTTCTTGGCTATTTGTGGTCTTTGTCATTTCTCTTACTGTGGTTTCCAGAAGCCTCAACATCTTATTTACTTCCTTCTGAATCATCTCAAGTTTACAGTTTCTTAAGATATAACATCCACACTAGACACATAAACCTAATTGTGTTCTGACTGGAGCAGCACTGTCACCATCCCCTCTCTGTACACTGTCCATTTTCCTCTAATGCAACCTAACATTCACTTAGTTTTTCCCAACAACCACATCATAATCTTAACTCTCATGGGGAAGGTACCACCTAAAATGTCTTTTAAAGACCAGGGGAAAAACAGTATTCAAAGCAAAAGGAAAAGCATCTGAAAAGTCATAGAGGTAGAAGAGAACATAGAATTTACACACTGTAAAAACTTGTGGTATTCTTTTGCAAATTTCCATTCTCATTTTCTTTTGTTTTTGTGGTGCTGGTGGATTGAACCTAGACCTCACCAATGGTGATGTAAGTGCTCTACAGGGAGATTTCCTTGTAAATGGCTGACAATGGTAAGGTTTAGTATGAATTTTAGCTTCAGCACAATTTGAGCCAAATATAATTGATGGTCTTCTGATTACCTCCCATTATTACCTGCAAATAGTCAACTTTTTTACCTGATGCTTTTGGGACACAAGTGACTTTTAGCTCGTGGGTTTGCACAAACCAAAATTGGAAAAACACTAATTTAGATTAGTTTTATTAAGTTAGATTAACATTTATGTAGATTTTCGAGATACTCTACCTATCCGATAGATTCTGTCTTTTGAATCTATTGGGCTGTGCCAGCCTCTGGATCCTTCTGGAGGGCTGGGTAAGCAATGCAGAAGGGGGGATCTTCCAAATGACAGACTCTCTTCCACAGCCATAGAAATATTGAGCCCTGCAGGTAGTAGAACAGAAAAGAAGTGAGTGAAACAAGCATGAATTCAAATTATCATATTTTCCAACAATGATCCCCAGGCCTAGGGGAACAAGTAGACACTTTACCTGTTTTGTCATGGAACTATTTTCTACACAGGGAAAAATGAATTGTTTTAGAAATGATTATAGACAAAGTTTTCAGTTAGTTTCTATTATCCTACTCTAAAACAGATAATTTTCTATAATAAATAAATTGCACTTTCTAAATAGATGAAAACATATACTGACGAAAGAAGAAAACTTGCTGCTTTTACAGTTAAATACTTCTGGGAGTGATGGTACATGCCTGTAATCCCAGTCCTTGGGAAGGTGAGGCAGGAGGAATGAGTTCAAGGCCAGCCTAGGCTACATGGTGAGATCCTGTCTCCAGGGCAAAAAAAATACTCTCTTTAGCAATTATATAAATAGTTTGAATTCTTAAACTTCATTTTTAGTTAATAGAATGAATTACATTGATATTTTCCTTTGTCTTAAAGAACTCTAAGTTTAAGAATAAATTCAATCTTGGTGTATATTTGGCCATTATTGAGGTTTGTTAACTAAGATTTTATTTATAATAAATAATGATATTGCTCTTATTACCCATGCCCTCTAATCTTTCCTTAAGCAAAATATGTTATATCATAAGTAGAGAAAAAAGGGATCCTGACTATGCAGATGTGCTGTTAACTCAGATTACAGTCCCACTCCTGATCCTGTTCTTTTCCAAAGCACCTCTGCTCCTTCAAGATGTTCACAGATATGGATCTGGGTCCTCTGCCCAAGCTTCTGTCTGCTGGTTGCTACTGTAAGCCTCCATCTGCGTGTAAGCCCATATCTCTCTTGCTTGTGACAACACAGCCTGGAGCCTGTTGACACTACACTCATCTGCTTCAGGGTCTGGAGGCTGCCCAGTCCTGGCCCCACTTCCTAACTCAGCAACCCACACCCACATGCACTGCCCAGCTCACACAGGTAAGGAGCCTCCAGCAATTACCTGGGTGAGCCTTCCCCAGGAAACAGCAGTTCACTTTGGGAATGGATATACAGAAGGAAGAGGAGTTTGAATGGGTCACTTCAGACAGATTAGACTCAGATTAAGGGGACACAAAGCAGTCAGAGGCAGCAAGAATGCAAGATGCTCATGGAGAGCTGGGCAAAGGAGAGAGGCCCAGGCAATGGGTGAGAGGTAGAAAATAACAGTGATAAGAGACAAAGACAATTACTCAGCATTCACTCAGTGGGGTATGGCAAACATCAAATGCCATGGAAAAAATGTACTGACCACATTATGTTGGCAGCCTTATTCTGCCAATAACTATAAATACATGGATGCACCAGAAAACAGAGAAAAAAATACATTTTTTTGTTGCTTCTGAAGAGTAAATTAACAAAGTATGCCATTATATAATTTATAAGGCACTATCCCAACATGATTTTATTAATCAAATTGCATATTAACTTCAAATCCCATTAGTGCATATCCTTTTTCCTTACAGAAATTGCATATTAATAGAATGTATTACTGCTGTCTTTATGTGCTTGTTCTCCTCCTACTGTCTCCTTAAACACTAGTCTCACAGTTCCATCAATGTGGCAGGTACTCAAATATTGTTCTTCTGATTGTTAAAATAAATAATTATTATAGAAATCTATAAAATAAGGTTTGAGGGAAAAAAGTGTGTATTAGCCTACATTCAAATATAATAATGGGTGTTAGGAAAACGCCACACACCACACACAAAGGAGGCTCACAAGAGGTATCTCATGTCCAAAGTTTAATAAGCAGGCTGGCTGGCTGAGAGAAAAAATGGTGCAGCAGCTTCTCTCAGCTGGTCTGGCCTTAAGTAGCATTTGGGAGAAAGCAAGGGCTAGGGATGGGCAAAGAGAGGTGGCAGGAGATAAGGGGCAGTGGGGCTTTGTTCTGCAAGGGGTGAAACCAGCTGCGGCTCAGGCTGCAGAATGGTGACAAGGGGCAGTTCTTATCAATGGGTAATACTTAAAATAATTTTACTTCTTTTCCCTCTGATTCATACACTCAAAAATTACTTATGGAGTGTCAATATTGTGTTAGGCAGTAGGGAAAGAGTGGACAATAAGAAATCACTGCTCTCTTGGAGATTGGGGGTGGGGAAGATGATAGCAAATGCAAAAAAAATTGTTGTGAGTGCTGTGAAAGCATCAGCCATGAGGCAGAGGTGGAAGTTTCCCAAGTAGGCTTGTGAGGAGATGGAAACTTAGTTTGAAGCATAGTCAGAGAAGGTCTCTCTGAAAAGTAGAGACCTAAGCTGAGAGTTAAAGAACCAGAAGCTTTTAGTCATTAAAAAATGAGGAAAAGAGGGCAGCACCCAGACGACTTGAAAAGATGCGGAACATAAGGTGAGCTAAGCGGCACGCAGTACTCCCACAGACAATCCTGGGCCAGATCAGCATAGCCCCCTGGACAGACCAACTCCACCCAGGGAAAAAAGAAAAAAAAAACTGAATAATAAGCAATAACAACAAAAAAGACACATAGCAAAGAGGGTGGGGCTCTCTGAGCACCGAAGGGAGGAAAGGGAAAATCCCTCACAACAAGCCAGCTGGAGAAGGCAGGAGCAGCGGCACATGCCTAGCAACCAGGAGTGGGAAAACTTGTAAAAGTGGCGGTGGGAAGAAAACTCCACAGGAGAGGAGGAAGACCCACTTCCCACGTGAGCTGTAAATAAACACGCTGGCCTAAGAAAGCTGGTGCAGTGTCACCTCCCCCAGTGTGCTTGGAAAGGGGAAAGCTTGTAGCAGTGGTGGTTGCACCCAGGAGAACTCTGAGTAAACAAAGTCTTCAGGGCCAGGTGAGTGCTAAGCTCACCCCTGAGATCTGCATAAATAACGCCGCCAGCAACAGCAGGCTGACAGCAGTAGGCAGGCAAGCCACAGCTGCAGGTACCATTCTCAGAACTGTCTCCAGACTCTTTTTTTTTCTTTTTCTCCCTACCCTGAGACAACAACCGAACTACACCTGCATGCTGAAAAACTTACTGAAACTGTATTGCATTTGAACTTGGGACACTTTGTGGGTTTTTTTTGTTTTGTGTTGTTTTGGTTTTTTAAGTTTTTTTCCCCTTTGATGAGACAACAACAGAACTACTTCTGAGACACCATCTCCAAGATTGGAGGCTGAGGGACTAACACCAAAATTATTAAGACTAAAACTTTATTGCATTTGAACATGGAGATTTTTTTTTCATTTATTTTTTTATTTTAATTTTTTATTTTCAATCCTCTCTCTGTCTCTCTAATTAATGCCTGTTCAGCTTACTGTTAATTAATACACTATCTCTCCCTATTTATATCTTTGAAACTTTTGTTTGTTTGTTTTGGTTTTTCTACTTGTTTGTTTATTTGTTTTTCCCTTTTTCTTTAACTTTTTTGCTTTCCATCTCCTCTCACCCTTCCATTCTAAATATCACCATTGTTATTATTACAAGCTAGAAATACTTAATTGCACACAATACAGGGACAATAACAACACCACGGGCAATGACAGGAAGACAGAAAAAACAGGGAAAACAGTTTCCCCACAGCAAAAATACTAGTACAGGAACCAGAGGGAAATGAAGAAAACAGATACTCAGATCCAGACTCCAACAAAATGAAGATAAACTATGCCAAAGAACTCAGTGAAGCCCACAAGAGCAATCTAAAAGAAGAAATACTACAGGTAATCAATGAAAATTTTATGGAGATGATACTGGATATGGTCAACCAAAATGTACAGGAGACACTCAAGAAATTCCAAGAAAATAAAAATAGAGAATTTGAAAAAGCACAAGAAGAAATAAAAGAAACCATAGAAGCACAGTATAAACACCAAAGTGAAACAAAGAACATGATTAATAAAGAGAACCGACTCAGGATATGGAAAAACTCAGAAAAAAGAATGAAACAGAATTGCAAAATAAAATGGATGGCCAATCCAGCAGTATAGAACAAACAGAAGACAGAATCTCAAAACTTGAAGATGAAAGGGCAATTAAAGGAAAAACCAAAGAACTATTAATTAAACAACTCAAGACCTGTGAAAAGAAAATGCAAGAACTCACTGACTCCATCAAAAGACCAAACCTGAAAATCATGGGCATTGAAGAAAGAGAAGATGTGCAAGCAAAGGGAATATATTCAACAAAATAATAACAGAAAATTTCCCAAATCTAGATAAGTCTATTCCCATACAGATCCAAGAGTCCTCCAGAACACGAAACAGACCAGATCAAAATAGAGCTACCCCACGACATATCATCATTAAAACAACAAGTACAGAAACTAGGGAAAGAATATTGAAGTCTATAAGAGAGAAAAAACAAAAACATACAAAGGTAAACCCATCAAAATCACAGCAGACTTCTCAACAGAAACATTAAAAGCAAGAAGAGCTTGGGGAGAGATCTTCGGGGCACTGAATGAAAATAACTTCAACCCCAGGATACTCTACCAAGCAAAACTATCATTCAAAATAGATGGAGCAATAAAAGTCTTCCATGATATGCAGAAACTAAAACAATATGTGACCACAAAGCCACCACTACAAAAGATTCTTCAAGGGATTCTGCACACAGAAAGTGAAACCCAACATAACCATGAAAGGGCAGGCAGCACCAAACTAAAGAAAAAGAAAAAGCAAGAAAGTAGAGAGTAACCTCAACTTAGGTACACACAATCAAACCTTCAAACAACTAAGACAACTAAATGACAGGAATCACCACATACCTATCAGTACTAACACTTAATGTTAATGGACTTAATTCCCCCATCAAAAGGCACCGTTTGACGAAATGGATTAAAAAGGAAGATCCAACAATTTGTTGCTTACAGGAGACCCATCTCATCGACAGAAATAAACATAGGCTTAGGATGAAAGGCTGGAAGAAGATTTACCAAGCCAATGTCCCCGAAAACAGGCAGGAGTAGCAATACTTATCTCTGACAAAGTAGACTTCAAAC